CCTGTAAGGCTCACAGATAAAACCACACTAAGGTTACAGCCTGTGGTAGCTGAGGCAAGAGTAGCAGTGTTGCTCTGTATGCTAAAACCAGAGATTCCTGTAACAGATGGATACCTTCTTTCCATGAGCTGTATTTTAAATAAGTGGTTCTTCATTTGTGTTTAGTGGGCCAAGGAATCCTTTTTCCTGCAGAGTGACTTCAGCTGAAAGCTTGATAAGGTGATTCTGTGAGAAACTGGTAATTGCTGACTATTATCACCTAAATCTGGTATCCTGCTGTTATAATGGATTGGGTCTTCTGATTATGTTGCTCAGTTCCAGGATCTCCATGTTTGTGTTGTGGGGCTGAGCAACACTGGGCTTGCCACCCCAGTCAGGTTGGTTTCTAGCTTTTCATATGGCCCTACAGTATTTGCCCTTTAAATGAGAGCATAACAGCAGTCAAACTTTTGGGCTTTTAAATCCTTTTTACCTTATTCAGTGTCCTCTTGGATGCAGAGTCTTTTGTGGTTATAAGCAAACATAGTGACTTGAATGAGGCTTTGAGTTGAGTGGGAGAACTGTCTGGGGAACCAGTGACTCAGTGTAGCTTGAGGGGATGATTGGTATTTCACAGGTACATGGAAAGAAAATATCCTATTTTTGTTTAAGATGAAATGCAACAATAATTTGGTTTAAGCCATAGAATTACTTTCTTCCACTATTCCTATATTTGGCTTTGGAAGTAGAATTCTGCAGATCTGTTAATTCAGTCTTGAACTGTGTTACCAGAAGAGTGAAGTTGTAGTGTATTACAGAGCACACAGATGTTAGGACTCTATGATGGCTAATCCTGGGTGTGTACTTCCTACTTGTAGTTCAGCAGTACATCTGTGATGAACTGATCTGCAAGTGAAGGTGCCTGGGCAATAGGTTTTATGTTAAAGTTTGTCTTGACCAGAATCTTGGGCCTATCAGAACTGCCTCCTTTGGCACTGATTTCTGATCCGTGTTTCCTGAAGGGTCTGTAATGACTGGAACTGTTCAGTAATAGTGCACAGAAGAATCACTTTCCTAGGAATAAAGCTATTAAAAAAAACCCCAAACATTGTAATGCATTTTTATACACTTTGGTGATGGATTATTCAAAAAACTTATTTTCAGTTCAACTTTTAGTGGAAAACTGTGAAGCACTTGTGCAAACTGCAGAAACAAGGTTAGAATCATATTATCTGAAGTTCTAAGTTATATTAAATAACCCAAGATGTGTGCTATTCAAGTACATGCTAGATCTTACTCAGTGTTCCTTTTTTTAAGTGGCTGGAGATGTTCAGGGGTTGGTTGAAATCCATTTTCTGGAAATTGTCCCACTTAATCTGATTCCTTTAGAATACTGCCGCTTGCATTCCCTGCACACTCTCCCCACCTGTTTTTGATTTGTTCTTCTTGACATTTGCAAAGGAAATAAGTGACTTATTAATCTTCTTGTCCTTGGATTTATTCCAGGTTTCTTACTAGCACATTGCTCTGTTCAGCTCATTCAAGTCACTGGATCCAGCTACTAAATATTTGTTTACCCTTGTCCCGATTTAACATCCTAACACAAAACTTCCTAATGCTATCCCAGTTGGTTGAAGCCACACACTCTGAATCCTAAACTGAGCTACCAGAAAGTAAAACAGACACTGTGGATTGAGATACTGACTGTGTTAATGTGGTATTACATGTTTGGTCTGATCCCACAGGGTCTAAATAGATGTCCTATCTTTTTTTTTCCTCCTCTGTAGGCTCTGTAACGGATAAACCATCCAGCCAGGGTAATTCAGGAAGGAAAGGTGAGTGGAGTCCTGTGCTTCCACAGCTTGTTCTGTAATAGTGGCTGCTCAGCCAAGTCCCTTAAGACATGTTGGAACCAGGGTTCCTAAGCAGCTCAGTATGTGGGAGGCTTCTGTGCCTCTTTACTTCCCCCTGCAGCAGAAAGAATAAGATGGTCTGTTCATGCACCACCCCATGGAGTGGAAAATAGTGTGCTCGTCAGCTGAGATGTACATGAAAGCGGAGCTTTCCAAAGGGGCGGCTGGCACAGAATAACCTCTCCTTGTTCACCTTGAAGTTAACTGCTGAGCATTTCTCAGTAAAATCCCCAGAGATTAGGAAGGCTATCAATATGACTAGTATGTTGGAGTCAGAAGTGCCAATGTCATGGTTGTAGCTTAATACGTGTTGAAAGGTGGATTTTTTAACAGCATAAAACCCTCTGGCCAGCTGGAGCAGCACTGGATTAAACTCTAGCTGTGCTTGAAAACCTCTCTTTTGTTCATTAGGCATTGGTTCTCCTTCTGTACACTCCTTTCTTCAGTCCTTGCTTTTCCTAAGCAAGGCACTACATGTGTCCTCATTCTCCTGTGTGTATTTGTAGCCCTTCTTGTTGTCCTCTGATTTGCATTGATTGAAATAGTCTTGGGAGGGGTGACTACTGGAACACTGAACAGTCAAGTTTGTCTTTAGGCCTTCTCCACACCTTGATTTTCAGCCCTTCTCCCCTCTACTCCCCCATTCAGAGTCAACTTTTGAGTTTGTCCCCTTACTGTGGGAAAACAGTGCTGAATGCATCCTTACTCCTGCTGGTGACAGTGAAGGCTGTTTTCTGGGAGAAGTTCCTGTTTTGATATCTGAAGCAGGATTTCTACTGTTAACTCTCTAAACCAATTGTTCCTGACACTTAAAAATGCAGGAAAATTACCACCTTGATGTCAAGACTAATGTGAAGAACATCTTCCCTGCTGGGACTGCCAAGCTAGTCTTGAAAACACTTGACAGGTTTTAGTGTAGCATTCAGAGCACTGATGCATTTTGAGCTCTCCAGTCTATTGAATGTGTATAGTAGCTTAGGAAAAGGTAGGGAGAAGAAAGATGCAAGGAAAACTCTGAGTGAATGCTGAAGCCTGCTTCTTATTTTAGATAATGTCTCTCTAAACCTTTAATTACATGTTGATGTATAATTGGCACCTGAATGCGTTGTTAGCTTTCTGTTAATACAATCACTGCTAGTCTAGCCTGAAGTACAAGAAAATCAAGTAACTCTTGAAATCTGCACTATTTTTAGTGGGGGTTGTTCATAGGCTTCCTACCTGAGTAGTCCTGGTCTGTTCTAGAATTGGAAGCAACTGACATTGGATTTCATAAAAAAAACAGGGGCGAAAGGGGAAAACAGCAGAATTTTTTTCCAGTTCATTTGATTTATTAACTCAGTGGTTGGAACATGCAAAAAAGAACTGTAAATTGAATTAATTAATCTAAAATTTTTAATATAAATTGATTCTTGTTGGTGATGCCTGTGACATCCTGTTTCAAAAATTGTATGCTTGGTCATGTGGCTGCAGAACTGTCCTGTGCAGTAGCTGTTAAGAGGAAAATGTTTGCCTTTGGGCCAGCATGCTTCAAGCAATCATGTAAACTTACATCCCCTCTAATTCTGAATCTGCTTGCATCTGTTGGAAGCCCATGCACAAATTTTTGGCCTTTCCCCATTGTAAGAAAAATACTTGTGAGCAATTACTAAATGGGTCTTTTAAAATAAAGAGGGCTTTTAGAAGCTAAAATTATTTAGTTTAAAATTAGATGGATTTAACATTACTTTTTTGGCTAGGGATGAATGCCTAATCTAAAAACAAATTTGGCTTTCATATAAATGTGTTTTCTTGACTTACTACCTTGATTCAAAATTCTAGTCTTGGGCCCTGTTGTAAGGAAATTGGAATCAAGAACAGCCTGGCTTCCTTGAAGCAGGCTGGTTGCTGGTGGTCTGGCTTCTCTGAAGACTGGTGGCCAGCCAGCATGCATATAACCATCTATTCTAGCTGAGTGTTCAGACTCTTCTGTGACAATTGCCCTTTGCAACAAGACAAAGGGCAGGATGTGGAGGGATCCAGCAGGAACTGGGTCAGTGATGACCTTGCTGTTTTAAAGGCACATTTTATAAACTTCTGTCATCACTTTGGGCAGCTGCCATCTGACTTGGGAGCTTCTGAATGTCTCCCACTGCACAGCAGACTCCTCTCTTCATCCTTGGATGAGGGTCTTTGAGTCAAAGAGCATTCTCTGGCACAGAATAGATGCTCTCAGGAGGAGAAGGAATAGCTAAGACTCTCAAAAGTTACTTCTTTTGTTCCATTCATACAGGAATGTAAAATATGAAGCTAATAAACTTTGTGTGATGATGGTGCCTTTTAAGTCTTCAGGGCAAAATAGTTTTTTGGATGGAGGCTTCCCTGCCTTAGAAGCAGTGCAGATGGGCAGACTTAAGCTGTTGGGTAATAAATGAAGACTTCACTGGCATATTAGCCTTCCTTTAGAAAAGACATATTAATGTTGGAGGCAGAAAAAGACTGGTTATTAGTAATAACTCTTTCTCCAAATGTTTTGACCTCTTTTCCATCCTATTCAGCCCTAATTTCTGGGAATCGATAGATATGCTGTAGACACCAGACGATGGGAGACAACATGTGATTCTACTCGAAGGCTCTCTCACTACAGATGAAAAAAAATGAAATGGCTTTATGGCTACATGGTTTGTCATGTAGTTCCAGAAGTGGTTTTGTGGAGCTTTTTGCAGAGAACAGGCAAGAGAGCTGGCAAGAAAACTTTTTTATTTTTAAATCCCATGCTCTGGTTGCCCATGTTTACATTACTCCTATTTGTGTATGATGCGATGCCAGTTACTCATACAACTTGCCCTGTCAGGTAATTTAAATAGCTCTGTCAGGTAATTTAAATAAAATTAAACTGGCACCAAGCATAACAACTTAAAACAGGACGTACTGATTTGTTCTGTGTTGGAGAAGTGCTCAGTTGCTCAAAGGTAGAGCAGACCTGGGCCCAGAGACATGGAGGCATGTTAGCATGCAGAGGAATGGAATCGTGTGTTCTGTGTGGTGTTTGCAGCTCAGACATTTACTACCATTCTTTCTATGCTGAGTTCAGCCTGCTAGTGAAGAAGTTTCCAGGACCATTTTCAGGGAATGCAGTTATTCTTGGGTGGGATTAGGACATCCAGAACCTGCAGATTTTTGTTGCTTTCTGTTACTTATTCTGACTTGTTCCTTGTACAGTGCTTTCTCTTCAGGAGTTTCTTGCACTAATTTACTCCAGTTGCTGCTTAGTTTGAAAGGCCTGAGAGACTTGGAAGACACATGCTGTCCCCTAGAGAAGCTGGATCTCCCCCCTCTTTCCCCTGGGGGGTTCTTAATGTTTTAAGAAGCAGTGAAAGGCATCCTTGGAGCCAACATGACTGGATTTCTTCCCTCCCTAAAGAATGCAGAACATTTCTTTCCAGCCAAAGGAAAATTGTACCACACATTTGAAACAAAACAAGAAAACATGAAACAAAACTTTATTTTCTTTATCTGAAGAATACTGGGGCTTTAGGAGCTCAAAGCTACAGATTTGGCATGAAGAGTCTTGAGTGTATGTTTTTCTTAGTCTCTCACAGTGCGTACAGTTCCAGGCCTGTTTTGACATGCTTTGCTCTCCTATTGGAAGAGCTGACAGTAGCATCTGCAATTCCCTGAACCTGGGGCAGATACAGTGATGACAATGAAATGTAAACTCTGCTGGCCCCACAGAAGGCAAAGCCTGAGTTGAGCTTACACTTAGACATGACCCTCTAATGGAGTTGCAAAAAGCTTTGCGCAATGAGTTTGCAGCCTACAAGAAAGCACTAACAATTTGAGGAACCTAAGATGAATGACTTGAAATTCCTGCAATTTTGGTTCCTTTTTTGTGGGTTTAACTGTGAGAAATGGGCTTAAATGCAGGCTTCATTACAGGGAAATTCTCTGCTACAATTGTGGGGAAGTTGGCCCATTCTGTGGCTCTTCCTGCTCGTTTCCAAGAGTCTTACCTCTAGAAAATGTTAATGGCCTAGTTATGTAGCCAGGAGACTGAGCAATTTGAATCAGTAATGAGCCAGTAGTCTGAGTCAGTAATTAGACTGAGCAGTAAAGGGTGAACACTCTCCTCAGGCAAACCCAAGTGTAGGATGGCTTGTGCTGATGTAAATAAATGGAACTGTTGGTAGATGGAGGCCTGCAAGCTTTGTCTGCTGGTGGTAAGAAGTCACAGGTGCAGCTGGAACTAATTCACCTGCTGTCTGCTCAAACAGAGGAGCACTTTGCCTTCACAGTGGTTAGCATGTCTTGGGAGACAGATAATATATTGATAAAAATGTCTAGTTGAAATGTGACCAAAACCTGAGACTGGAACTTTGGTCTTTATCTTCTCCAGTTCTTTCTGGATTCAACCAGGTCCTGATCAAATCTGGAAGTTGTGCTATTACAGAATCGAGCTTCAGATGTCAAGTTATTCCTGCCTCTCCAACCTGATAAATACTGAGAAAGTGTTCTCTGATGTCTTAAGCAGTTTGTGGAAGATGAATGAGAGAGCACAAAAATATTGTATAGCCTTCATCAGTAAGGTGAAAAAAAGTACAGGTTTACTGGGGAAGTCAAGTGATGGGTTTAGGTTAACACCGTATTCTGATTAATTAGCAAGTACTAAGTCTGCAGTGCTACCCAAGCAATTCTTCTGGATTCCTTATGTTATGTATTTATTTTAAAGTAAATAATTTACTAGTTTATAAGTCTGGATGAAGGAGAATTTTCATGAAAAAGATTTCTGAACTGTTTAACTTTGTCATGTAATATTCCTAGACAAGGGCTGACATGTTTCTGTCAGGTCTTTTCTAGATTACATGTGTACGCTGTGTGCACATAAAGTTTGATGCTTCTAGACAGAGCTGTATGTAGGGTAGCTATGGAAAGTCAGACTGTGCTGT